TCTTTTACATTCTTGAAATGAAATTTCTTGATAACAAAATTAAAGTATGTTTTTTATAGAATATTTAGAAATTATAAAGTTATAATTGATTTTCGATGCTTCTTATATATAGCATTTTGCATATTAAAAACTCTTTTGAATCGCTGATACATCGTGCTTCCCGCGTGCCAGCTTCCCATGTCAAATTACATTTAACTAGAAATTCGAGTGTTCTCATGAGTGCCGGACTCGCGCATATGGCGGATTTTCGTATGTTTCATCGTCAAAGGGCACCCGCTTTACTCCCCCACGATCAGGTAAAACGCGGGGACCATCACCGATGCTCGCGTTTACGCGATATTGACCCGACCATATGCTCGTTAGTTCCCATAACATTGCCATCCCAATGTTGCTGATACATGCGGTGATATCTAAACGGAGGCAGCAACAGGTAGCTGCGTCGTTGTTCTAATCACGTCTCCGATAAATGAACGATTTGTTCGATTATGTAAATTTTAATTACCTAATTTCAAGTCATTCGCGTTACATCACTTTTATTCAGTCAAAAATCGATAAAGAAATATTTATCAAATTATATGTAAAATTATAATCTATGTAAGATTAAAAAATTTAATAAATTAAATATAATTGTGTGATACACAAAACATATTTATATGTTTTTAGAATTAATTACATAATATGCTAATGAATAATTGAAGCAGTAAAAGAGCACAGAAATCTATTATTTTAAAACAATATTATACTAAAAAAAAAACAAGATACGCTTTTAAGTTTATTTTCCAAAATATTTGAATAAACATAATTTTAAAAATAATTAGAATATATTATTTTCTTAAAGTTATATTAAAATCAAATTACAATCATTTTACTTGAAATCAAATATATCCATAAGTACTTTATTACTAAAATGGTATACTTGCTTTTACGATTTTTTCTTTTTCCTGGCAATTTTTTGATTATTAAATAAAAAAATTATTAATGAGAAATGTAGAAATATAAAGTTCTTTTCACTTTTTATTTTCATATTTTTTATATAAGAAATTGCTTCAAAAAATATTCCAAATGCAAATGGAACGAAACTTTATTCTCTAAAGCGAGGAAGCTAGGTGAATTTGGTAAAAGCATGCCGAAGGGACGATAAAGTCAGTTTAAAATTTGGGCTTATCCTTCATTAACGTGGTTTCCGCAGTCCTAGCTTGTCAGCACTTCCTGCGTCAGCATTTATTCTTATTTGTGAGCCTGATACAAAATTCACAGTGCCTATAGTGCACAGTAAGTCGACCATTTACGGATTACGGCGACTCCGCTTCCCCGAAACGACTCTAAAAAAGAAGGCGCTTCACTTATAGAAAAGAAATGTCAATCATACATGTCTTAATGTTGAGAGATTCTTTTTTGCGATTAAGAGGAATCTACATTTCTTTTGATTTACGATAGACTTCCGTCAAAGACGAAGAATAGTAAACTTTCGTTTATAAAACTTCCATTCCTAGATTTTTTATAACGAATCTATCATTTCACGTAAAAAGTGAATCATCTAACTTGGACGTGATGGACAAAGCTCTAATATTTTTCTCGTTTGGGAAGTAAATCAAATCAATTTTAATTACATTTCTATCAATTATTTTCAAGATTTTTTTATCATAATGTATGCTCTGCAAGAAGACAAACTTTTTTAATAAATGAAATCAAATTATTATAATTGTATAAGAATAAAATAAAATTTAATAACAATATTTGAAAGTAATGTTGCCAGCGATATGGATAGATGAAATAAAGCTGATCCATGGTTTCTTTCTTCTCGCTGAGCCATGTTGAAAATTGAGATCTTTCTGAGATGCGTTTCGAGATGTTTTTAGAAACGCTAAAAGTAGCACACAGACGAGCTATAGAGAAGAAAGATGGAGTGAGATGTTTGAAAAAATAACAATATGTTGTCAATAATTTTCATAGCGTACATAGTAGTGGACTGATCTTTCAAAACCTCGTTAAATATAATACTAGTAAAGATATAAACATTGAATGGACATCAGACAGGATTATTTTTCGACACAGCGCAGGTCACACAGTGATGCTGAGAGATAGCGGCGAGACATCACAGGTTTTTCCTTAGGTTTTACCTTAGGATTTATCTTAGTTTTTGCTTTTTATGTTGGCGGATTTGGATTTTAAATATGAGCATTTCTTTTATGTAGATTTACTCCGTCGTGGCTACCTAAATTTTTTCTCTTTTGTGTGGAGTTTCTTATTCTTATTTACTTGACAAAGATCATTGATACTACTGACATGATTAGACTGAAATTGTATTAAATTGGCTTTGTACTACTTATTAAACAACTACTTATTAGTAACTACTTCTTACTAACTGATCCTATTATCAGTTTCTAAGCGCTAGATCTGAGAAATTTTTCATTCTCGTGCTAGTTTTTTTATCTTATCCTCTTCGCACTGCTTTGAACTTGCGATGTATTTTTGTATATCTATGGGTGAGAAATTCGAGAAAAATATTTTTTTTCCTATTCTTACGTCTTTTACATGTAATAGATATCTTTTGCAAAACAGAGAAAAAGTTTCTTTAAAGAGTTAAAATAAAGAATAAGTTGATATTAGATGCATGAATATGGAATGATGTACATACATTCTCCTGCTGTAAAGTCACACCTTAAATCTACCTTAACTTCCGAACCTGCGTGTTACCATATCGCGAATAAAATCGTCGTCGAATCAGTGACAATCCACGAATAAAATGTCACCCTAAAACAACATTGTTCCCCTCGAACTGTTATTGCACTGCGTTTTCATGCAGCGCAGAATCCATGATTCTATGGCCGTCGTGGCGGACAATTGTATTTTGATTTCGGTCCCATTACCAGCTGTTTAGGCGCGTTTGCCTTCTTGACAAAGCGACTCGAATCTCTTACTCAGGTCCGCGAAACTTTTCCCCCCTTCGTGAATACCGCGCAGGACGGAGAAGCGCGCCGCAGCCATTGTCAGGCTCCGTATTCCCCGGACAGTTACGTAGATAATCTCCTATCCCAACATATTGCACCAAAGCCAAAACGGTGCACGGTCCGACGAGCATTTGGTCTCGTCGGGCCTGCTGCCTCTCAATGGCGGCCAATTCGAGGGTGCAAAACATCTCGAGCCGAGGATACGTCTCTATTCGCATAGAAGTTTTTTTCCGCCACGTGTTCGTGAAACTCTTGAAATGCCAATGTTTGCCGAGGAAAGATCATGGAAAAACGCTGTAAACTCTATATTTGTATTCACGAGAAAATCGTGGATGAGTTCCGCTAATTCTTGGTGATCTGTGATTCACAACTATTTTATGTTAATTGATATTCTGTAAAAATATTGTAATAGAAAAAAAAACAGACTTAAAAATGAAACAACTTTATTCGAAATAAAAATATCGAGAGATATTTGAATTAATTTTTTCGTAATTTCTAATTTTTTCAAAAATAATTTTATCAAAAATTTAAATCTTCCATTCTTCAATTATTAAAGACTCGATGCACACGTAAAGGATTAATAATGTGCGCTTATTAATTGAAATTATTGAAGAGGACCTCGAGTGTCTCCTGCGACGCGTCACAAAAATACACCTGGTGCAATCTATGGAGATAGCATCGATTCGAATAGGACTCTTTCGAACGAGGGGGAGCGCGATACGTCATCGAGAGATCCAATCTCCGCGATATTACATCGGTTATGACGGATTCCTGGCGTAATTCATCGAGTGCAGGAACAACTCGCACCCCAACCCGGTTTCGCGTTTACATATACATACCCGACAGACGAAGGGGATCCCGAAGGGATCAGGCATGAGATAATTCAAGATGGAGTCATGGAGTCAGCCACGGTGCATCTGCCCACGTCGCTATTATTCCAACGATATATATGCACTCTGTTTAACCTCCGCCGCGTATCTCTTGCTGCCGTTTAATGGCGAAATTTTAACAAAAGTCTACCTTTTACCTGAGCCTACTTTAGGCACACGCATCAACGAATCTTCAACGGTCACGGGAGTGAGGGATTTAATTCTGGTCTTAAATAGCGCGTCTTTTTGCAATGTCGCAGGATTACAGATTATTAACACGTCACGATGTAGATAAGAATTGTTATAAGAATTTTTAATGTAAAATTGTTTGATTGTTATACAAACAACTTAATTTAAATATCTATAGAAATATGAGAGAGAGAGAACAATTTCCTCTTCTAATTATATTCATATTTTGCTTAAAAAATATACATTTTGTGTCTTTTAAAAAAGAAAATTAATATTTTATAATTAAATCCATACAGTTTCAATTTTGTTGTATAGCTTTTTTGCTAAATTACATTTTTCAGATAAAATAATTTTTATTAAAATAATCAGAAATAATTTTATAATGTAGTTCAATATTTTTTTCTGATTTAATAGCAATCCTGACTCGAATTTGTTTAGGAAATATTCTGCCTGCGTGTGCAAGTATAAATGAATTTCAAAAAGACATTTCTCAAAGGAAAAAATATTTGAAAAATCGCGATAGATAAGAGCGCGCACGCAGATATTTGTGATATAAAGAAATAACGTTAAAGAAATGAACGCGAGAAAATTAAGATTCTGTACAAAGAAGATGTAGATAACCAAAAGATCATGTGTGTAATGCCACAAGGGTGCGAAGAGAAGATATCTTCTTTCTTACCTTCATTTCAGGAATGACTCTCGCAAAATAGCGCAGTAGCGGGGATGATGCAACCCTCTATCGCCTCGATAGCAGTAGCGTTCAACCCCCGGACACGTCGGGAGCGAACCGCTTCCTTTCGTCAGATCCGCCCTTTGCTGAGGGTAGGGAAACCTTCAGCCAATGAGATGCGTTTTACCGTAGCAGGGTCTAAGGTCGGCGCTTGGCATCAAAAAGTCTCGCTGACTTTCAGTCATTTCACCCCGGAGTTAGTTCTCAGTGTGCCGTCACGGCCAGAAAGAGTGATGCCATAAATGCGGAAGGGTAGTCTTTCGGAAAAAGTGAACGTCCGACTTTGAAAAAAACTCTCTTTGTGTGTGACGCTGTTCATCATAGTTATTTAATCCTTATTGAGTGACCCTGTAGTGACAAAGAATGCAGAATCAGGAGTCACAATTGCCGCACATGCCAGTGCCACCGCCAAAGATGCCGGCTTCTTCAAGTAAATAAAATTCTTGATTTTTTTTATATTGATTTAGTTAACCCTTTTCATTTTTTCTATTATACGTACAGACTACAGACTATTATAGTTACACGTGCAAGAATAAAAAAGTTAAAAAATTACATATTGTTCTTTTATGAAAGGTGCTTCAATGCTTCTTAATGCCATATGTAAATTAATCGAAATTTATTGTACAATATTCGATAATTTTCGTTTCATAAAAATATCACTACAATTCGTGTGATAAAGAATTTTTTAAGTGTCTTTTGCATTTTTAAAAATACGCATAGAAAACATTTATTTGCAGCAAGTGTACTGAGAGGAATAAAGAGATTCGTTTTGCAATCCGTTGTACAACTATCTTTTTTTTCTTTCGGTAATTATTACAAGAGTAAAAAATTCCGGTTTAAAATTCTGAAATCCTTCTTCAAAAGATCCAATATGCGTGTCTATCAGTAAAAAATTAATTAAATTTTTACCTGAAACGTCTTATTCTTCGAGGTATAATTTATTGTCATCGACGGAAAAACAAGTGTTAGTCACGGTTTGTGACTACACAATAGTGCACAGTTTAAAATAAAAATGATACAACCCCTATTTTTAGTAACAAGCAGTAAAATTTTATAATGCCTATGCAATATCTTATATAAATATTATGTAAAGATCGATCACGGTATGTCGATTATAATGTTTTCGATGATATCTTACACGGTATGCTAATTTCATTTCGTGTGAAACAACAAACATGTGGTACCTTTAAATATAGCAGACGATCGTGTACATTTAAAACAATTCATTCCCGTGCGCAAGTCATCCATGAGAAAGTAACGACAGATGGTTTAAACTGATGCGGCGGAAACGAATCACCGTGATGGTCGGCTAACAGGTTGTCGCGGGTGGTTGAATACAGCGTCATTTGGTTTCCAATCAGTGTAACACGTCGGACTAATTAGGAAACTAGCGCATAGTTATATAGTTATTCAAGAGTTAAAATTATAATATATTTTCCGTTTTTATTTTATATATTTTTATACAAAATATATACACGTGATTTATATTCACTTTATATTCTATTCAATTTAATAAACCCATCGTGCTAAAATAATTGTAAATAATATTTAATATAAGATAGTCGAATCTTTTAATTATTATCTAATTAAAGAATGTTTCAAAATATCGCAAATAATCTCATCGCTTAAAATTATTGCTTTAAATTAATGAAAAAATAAGAATACGAGGCTTAAATAATGATTAATCATAACAAGGAGAAGAAGATGTTTTAAGCAACTAATTTGTAAGAACAATACATTTTTTTAATTAACGTCTATCAAAAAATCCATCAAATTATATTTGATTTTAAATTATATTTGTGGTTTTTGTTATCCACAACCTTTATTTTATTTGTACTGAGCAGCGATTTATATTTGTATTTTTGTTCTTTTAATTTAACTTAACGTTCTTTTGTCACAATTGAAAAAAATCCACAGAGGATTGAAATGTTTAATTAATTATATGTTTTTTAATACATTTTAACAAAAATTTTATTAATTATTACTGTATTATTTAGTTTTTAGGCTCTAATGACTCTTGAAATCTCCTTTTTATGATTAGTTATTATTGTTTTAAGTTATAAAATTATAAATATATCTTCGCAAACGCGTAGAGAAGAGAGTACGAACAAGGGTGAAACAAGCAGATGACGTAGATAATTACCTTATTCTAGATCAATTATACACATAGATATATATGTATCGACAGCCAGCGGTTAGTTTTTAACACATGTCACTACATTCCCATACTCGTATACCTGCGTACCACCTGATGGGGCGTGAAATGATAGAGTGACGAGAAATAAGTCGCGTAACCCTCTAGCATTATAACAAAGGTCACTATATCTCTCGCTCAAATTAGAAAACGTGCGATTCTTCTAATACATCTGAATATTTTAATTACTTTTACATCTCGAGAAAATTTATTAATATACAAATTTATTAATAACGAATATAATATATGATAATTAAAATATGATATGATATATTTGTCACGCGCGGGCGCGATTACAATATTAACCATGACTTTCGATTTCATTCCCGGCAATGCACGTAGACATATTACTAAAGGTAAAGTTTGTAGAAGAGAAAGTTTGACGACAGGATGGCTATTTTCTGTCGACGAAAAATTCGTGGCGTCGAAACGGCGAGGTCATTGTGCGGCGAGCATAAGGCGAGTACGTTTCGTACTAAAAAGACTCGGACTATCACTCCCCTCACAATTATATCGAGAAGTTCGTAATTTTGCATGCGAGACCACGATCCGAGAACAATACGTTTTACGCCGCTTTTCGTCGTCGGTCCTAGACGCGCCGGTTCGCTCTCACTTTCTCTTTGTTCACCCTTTGCATGCGAATGCGCGCAGACCGTGAGGATGCGCGCGCGACAAACTTTTCCCTTAATTTCGTGGTCACGAACACGGGGTATTATCGGGAGAGAAAGAGAGAACGTCGGCCGAAATAAAGCCACCCGGTGAATCACATCCGGCCATATTCGCGCAACCCCCCAGCCCTCCTATTCCTCCCTGCTTTTACGAATTTTACCATTATGTCGGATATTTCACGTGCGGGATATATTTTGGTCGAAGTTTATAATTCTGACGCGGTGCACATTCGGTCAGTTTTCGTCGGTGGTAGCGGCTCAAATGAAATAATTGATACGGGGGAGGAGCACACATGCGCCCGCGCTTTACAGCAATACTCATTTCTTGCGAAGCGTACGGCGCAACGGCGAACGCACGATTTTACATTCCCCTCTTTTTTCGAGCCACACCTTCGGTCCGGCTAATGACAGTATTTTTCGCATGTATGCTCGATCGAAAACGCGAGCTTGCGCGCATTCATGCGCTTCGTCAAATATTTATGATTTTTATAGCAATACTCTGCAAAGGGACCTTCTTTCCTCCTTCCTAAACTTTCTCACCCTCTTTTCCGTCCCGGTAAAGAAAATACATTGAAAAAGAGTCCGTTTACGATATCACTATAAAATCCTGTGAATATTTGACAGGAGGAAGATGATCGCCGCTCGAGAAAACACGGAGCTCGATTTCTCGGCGATAAAAAATTCAATCGCGAATGACTCGCCGACCGAATGCAAATTTCATACAGCCACGTGACGGCGAGTGCAAAAACGCATTGCGTGATTCCGATGCGTGTGCGCGCCGCAGTAAACGTTTACGCGCGCGTCCACGCGCGAGTTTCGAGTTTCCCTCTCTAGCGAAGGGAAAAAGAAAAGTGGACATTCCTCGTATTGCGGCAAAGGGCGCACAGCCCTGTCATTCGGTCGCAACCCGTCTGCTTTCTGTGCTTGAACATGTGCACCGCGCTTTGCGCATTACCGTATCTCCTCATTAATGATTTACCTTCAAAAAACACCGAGGCTTTTTTTCTCGGGATCAAGAAAAGGGTGAAGGCCTTTTTAACCATAGATGTTGTCAAGAAAAGAGATGGCTTGTAGCAGGAAACTTTGCGATTTATCGCCATTATTGATAATCAAAGTACGTAGGAAACGGCAAAACGGTGTTGGGGGAAAGGGCTTTATAACCGAGTGTGTTGTTCTCAGAGTTTTGATGGCCGGGTGTAGAGGGACTAATGGAGATCGCATCTTCGTAGCTTAATATCGTCGCCAGCGGCTGGACGCGACAATCAACAGGTTGTTGCACAGTATTTATCGCGTGCGCGTTCGCAATTCGAGCGAATTCTGACCGAATTGTTCTCGCACCATTCGCCATCGCTGTAATAAGTTCCATAGTGCGACAGAGATAAAGAAACCGACACGACGCGGGATTGATCGAGGGAGAGATCGAGGCCTGATACCGAGCGAAGTGTCGTATTTCTGGCTGCTCACTTAGGGTCGCTCAATGCGGCAGCCACATCCGGTCCATTCAGGTCCATTCACAATCTCGTTGGGCTCAATAGCGTAGGCGGAGCCCGTGACAAGGAGTTGGTGCCCCATTGCAAGCGCACGCATCCCCGTCCTCTCCCTCATTCTCCTCGTGCCGAAGAGCCAAGTATGAATGTGCGTGTGCGTACGTGTGTGCGTACGTGTGTGCGTGCATATGTGCGTTATACTACTGTTATAACGGGGACTAACTTGGCGACAAATCGATCCATTCACGTCCGAAGCATCATTCAGCGAGCTCGTGTTGTCGCTCGTAAACGGGTTCAACCAAAATACCGGCATTCTCACAGGCCGAGATTAACGCGCCCTTTCCATCGATTGTCATCGACAATGCTATGCTTACTTTCTTCTCGCGACAGCAACGACTCTTTTGCGAAACGCGAAAAAGTTGACGCCAAGCGTGTGACGAAGAGATTAACGAAGGAAAAATGAAGTGTCTTTTCAACGTGTCGCATCGACAATGCATTTTTCGGCTAAATTGATGAAGTAGCTGTTTCGCGAAAAAATCTTTAATCAGAGAATCAATCAGAGAAATCATTATTATTTCAAAAACGAATTACTTTTCAAAATGCACAAAAATTTGAATAAAATAAAGTCTTGTATTTACATTCATTTTTCACTATTTCTCTTCACAAATTTATAGAAATATTTAAAGATCGATTACTTCTAGACTAAAATGAAAGATTTTCCCAGGTAAAAAGATTTTATACGTAAAAAATATTTTCTATTGTTCCAGGTCGCATTCTTTACGATATACCTTGCAAAGTTTGTCGAGATCATTCTTCGGGAAAACATTATGGTATATTCGCATGCGATGGATGTGCTGGCTTCTTTAAACGATCGATTAGAAGGAATCGGCAATATGTGTGCAAGGCAAAGTCCGAAGGTGGTTGTATGGTAGACAAGACACATCGGAATCAATGTCGAGCCTGCAGACTAGCAAAGTGCATTCAAGCCGGCATGAACAAAGACGGTAATTGAGGCGTCGACATTCTCATGACAGTAATTCATTTCTGCGATCCATCGTTCTTTGAGAGCTTTTTTAGCAAATCCTTTTCATAAAATATATTTCAATATAGAATTAATAAATCAGATTTCTGTTCACTAATTATTAATTACACAGATCTTAATAAAAGAGAAATCATATACTGTTTCTTTTATAGCCGTACAACACGAACGAGGTCCGCGAAATTCAACAATTCGTAGACAAATGGCGTTATACTTCAAAGAACCTGAAATGATAGCTAGCATAGTGGCGCCGTCAGCAGCTTTAGACCTCGCTTTACCCAAAGCGCCGACCGAATCACGCGTTTCTATGCCTGGACCATCGCCCCATCCTTCCCTCACGCATCCTGTATATTGCAACGCGTTGGCAATGTCAAAGGTATGTTTCTATTTATATAAGTTCACCAATCGATTCCTTCAAAATATTTCTATAAAATTCTGATATCTCCATATGATCTAAATATGTAGACATATTTTTATAGAATAGACATTTGTTTCTGCATATAAGCATTTACGAATACGATTCTATAGAATCGAGGAAAGTTCCCGACATGAATAAATCGATTTTTTTATGTCACACTGAGAAAAAAATCTGGTTGCATTAATTAGAATTCTGGTAGGTTTAACCAGTATGTCTGTTGGAAAATGGACGAACCAGAATTCTTGCAGGAATTACCAGATGAATCTGATTAATATCTTCCTGTTAAATTTACCAAATTTTCTGATTAATAATACTAAACTCGCCACCAAGTCGTCTTAAATTTTTTCCATCTAATCTCAAAAGTCTGTTTAATATTCCGAATTCCAACAAAATTATTGGATAAATTTAATCCAGATTATTGAATAAATTATTTTAAATTCAGTTTGTTAGAAATTAAACTGATAAACAGTGATGTAAGAAGAGGATGCAGCTCACACACACAATCAAAGAGCTAGCGTCCTCTTTCTAACACTACTGCTCGTAAGAGAAAAAAAATATACTTTGGATTTAATGTTAATACTAGTTCTTTATATACATTTCATGGCAAATATTGAATACGAGTTAAGTTAAGAGTGGTTCTCCGCTTAGCGGCAAGCAAAGAAATTAACGTAACAAGAAATTTTATAGATTCAACCAGAAAATACGAACCAAATCCTTATAGTAAAATCTAAACGTTCTAGTTATAAAAAATCGAGTCTTATCATGATAACTAGAAATTCTTGTTTGATTTAACCAAAATGCCTTCAATCAGATACGTCTTGTTGGTACAATCAAACGATTTTTCTCAGTGCACAAGCGAAAAAACGTTGGATCGTTTTCGTTCTTTTTTTAGATGCCACCTAATATAGCAAACTTACATGCAATGCCGATTATCCCTCCGATCGCCGCCGAATCTATGTGCGAGCAGGCAGCGAGATTACTGTTTCTGAACGTTCATTGGGCACGAGATCTGGCGGCGGGCACGAATCTCGTCTTGGAGGATCAATTGACGCTGCTCGAATGCTCCTGGCGCGAACTCTTTCTGCTGGCCGCGGCGCAAATGTTACCGACTCTGGACCCTACGCCTCTGCTACCACCTCAAGGTATCGGGCTGGCGATCGAGGTTACTCGTTTCCGCGAGACTCTGGCTGGTTTTAACGCGATGCATCTAGACCAGCACGAGTTTGCCTGCATCAGAGCGATAGTGCTTTTTAAGGCCGGTTTGGACAGCGAATCAGTGTCCAGCAACCGCAGCACCAGCAGCTCCAATTCACCCGGTCCTGGAAGTCGGCTTAGAGATCCAGCCTCCGTTGCCCGATTAAGAGACAGTGCTCAACTGGCACTAGGACAGCGACTTAATAGCGCTTCCTTGGGAGCAGGAACCCTCAGGTTCGGCAAATTACTATTGTTGCTGCCCAGTTTGCGGTCCGTATCCACACACGCTATCGAGGAACTTTTCTTTAGGCGAACCATTGGTATAATCCCAATCGAAAGGATCATCTGTGACATGTACAAGGCACCGTAACGTAGTGAAATATTAAATGTGGAAGCTGAAGAGAAAGCGTTCATTTGTTATGTTTTTTTTTGTCATTCATAAGAGTAGAATTTTATATAGAATATAAAGAATACACACACACACACACACGCATATATATATATATATATATATATATATATATACATATATAAAAGAAATTTAAAAAGTATTTTCAAAGTAAATTAAATTAATGTTAAGAGTAGAATTCAAAGATATTTTCATTATCCAAATTTAACATCATATTAATAGTAAATATAACACATTGGTTAATGAAAATATCTTTGAATTCTACTCTTAACATTAATTTAATTTTATTTATTGAAAATACTTTTTAAATTTCTTTTATTTTTGTATAAGGACAATTCAAATCATTTTTCATTAATACAGTATCAAATACTGTATTAATAATAACAACTTTAATTTAAATCTCATATGAAAAAATAATTAACGTGATGTATTATATTATTAAAACTTATACAAATTATATGAATAAATAACGTCTGTTGTATGACGAAAATGTACAAATCAATATACAGGATGTCCCAGTTATCTTCCGTCATCTTTCAAAGACAGATTCCTGGGATTTTTTCTCAGCGAAAATGTCAATGAAGGCCATCATTTTTTGCATGTTCCCGATTTTTGTCATCATATATCTTTGCAATTAAGTCTTAAATTAAAACTCAACTAAAATAAACTCTATTTAAAATTAATCGAAGAATGTGATTTTGTTAATATTTTATTTCTACAAAGCTTAGTTTACGAAAAACCCCTTATTTCCAATCACTTATAATTCGAAAATTATTAGTACCTCGACATTTTCGTTGAGGAAAAATCATCTTCAGATGATCCCAGGAATCTGTCTTTGAAAGATGACGGAAGATAAATGGGGTATCCTATATACTATTATTACTAAATAATTATTTAATATAATAAAAATGTAATATAATATAATTTGATAGATGTAAATATTTGTATATATATATATATATATATATATATATATATATATTTTTTTTTTTTTTTAATAATGTAAAATATGTCATTCATCTTTAAATACTTTAAGTATATTATTTGATATTTTAATTTTAAAATTTCATTTGCAAATGATCTCAGAATTTTGTCATTAACAGATCTACGAAATTCTTATCCTTAATTTATATCTTACATACAAATTTATTTAAAAAAATTGAGATTACACATCATAATCTTTCAGAAAAAAAATAGATTTAAAAAAAATTCTTTAATTACAATAAATTAAATTTTTTAATTACAAAAATGTTGCAAAATGCAACATAAAAGCAAATTGAATAAAAGCAAACTGTGATGAAAACATATCACGTCAACTTATAATCAAATTCAATAATAAATGTAATTTTAATTATATATTATTATAATTTGTATATTATATATATGAAATATATATACAAATATATGCAAATATAAAAGTATAATAATTATATTATAATACGTTTTCTACACAAAATATGACAGATGCAATCATTCTGCAACAATTTTATTAAAAAACTTGCCCTTAATTTTTATGATAGAAATGTAAATTTGATTTGGATATATTAATGCGCATTGATGTACATTAAAATTTACAAAAATTGATGTAGGAATGTATATAAGCAATTACCAAACATGAGACATAATTTATTATTTATTTGACGAAATATATATCCATTTATTACAAGACACTTGTTTTGTATTTTTATATATAGAAAAAAATTTGTACACGATAAATTTTAATCTATATCACATCAATGCGTACTAATGCCTTTAATCAAATTCTTTATTATAAATAAGATAGAGAAAGGAATGTAAAACTATGATTATACGAATATGATAAATATGAGACGTATGAAAAATTAATGTAAAAATAAAAAAATTGTGATAGAAACTTAAATTTTATCGACATAATATACGGAAGCAATACATAAAATATTTATATATTTACCGAGATTTTAAAGTTATGCGAGAAAAAGAAAATCATAAAAAGATCTTGTATTAGTTATATGAATTTTTTTTGCTGAAACATTTAATGCATGTGTATGCATATATATACAATATATATATGTATACAAAAATATAAAAGCAACGTAACTTATGCAGGTATTTAAAATTGAGATACGAGAGTATATTATAATATTCCGTTAAGAAAATATATCCATAACATAAGCACTTGTAAATACAAAATTTTAAAACATATAAATATATAAAATGTTATACAGCTTTATCATCTCTTTTTCTTTGACATTATTTTTATCACAAAATATATCTATGTAATCATTAGTTTAAGCTCAAAGGTATGCAGGTACACAGAGAAAAATATTATTCTACTGCCAAGAAAAGCGATTACTCAGTTTATTTTTCTTTTTCTAAGTAATAATTTTCTTTAACAGAAAATATATTCTTGATAATAGTCTTAAAATATACTTATCACAAGTGTTAGAAAATCTCATTATCAAGTACTCAAAAGAAGAATTTATTTTCTCTTCAAGAATATTGTAAAGTTGTATCAAACCAAATTTTTGTTTTAATTTAATATTCTTGATTAAAATACTGCACTTACTAAAATTTAGAATATATTCAATTAAATTCAATACTTGTGGTAAACTTATGATATACTTAAAATAAATAATATTTTAATATTAAATACATTTTTCTCTGTGTACGGAAAGATAACAATGCAAGATAATTATCTGTATGTAAAAGTTCAACAGTAGCTAAAAAAGGTGAAAACGGCTATACTTTTCGATCATTGTGCGAAGAGAGCCTACAGAAGAAACATCCGGAATTTACCTGGCCGTCAGGATCAATACAATGCATAGCATTTTGCGGGTATTTCACGGTGATTGAGTCGGTAATCGTGGCACAAAGCAAGCCCAACTCCGGCGCTTGTTAGTGCATTCTAAGACTTATTTCTTTCTCTGGTAGATCAACACGTAATCACCAGTCAGCCAAATAGAGTCGCCGCCATAGATGGGATCTGTGAAGTCCACGTCGACCTCTTTGTCAACAGCCGTCATGCTTCCGTCAGAGGTACAAGCGCTGTTATTTCTAGATCCTAGAAGATGATCCTACATTTGATTTCTCCCGAGATTCGGCTTTGTTGCATTGTCTCGTATCGCCAAACAAACCGCGATCCCTTCATATTTTAATTCGATTCGCTCTTTGTGAACTAAAATGTTAAGAAAATATTTAAAAAGATATCTGCATTAAGTTTGAACATTATTTCAACTTTATGTCTTATATTTTTTTATCTTTTAATTATTTTTTAAGTAAATTACATAAAGAAATTATTCGGAAATATGACAAAGTCAGAATACAATTTGTTTGCTCGTACTTAAGAAGTGCGAAGGAATATTCTCACGAAGTTGCGAGATGCGGGAATGTATTGATGCTTGCTTTAACCGTGCTTGAATGACTCTCGTTACTCACATGAGCGAGCTCTCGAATGTTGCCACTTACCAACGCTAATATTTTCTCGTCCCTAAATGTTTATGTCGACACACATTTCATTCTCTTATTTGCTCAATAATGTATACAAAGATTTTTCAATCATTTGAAAATATTAACAGTTTGTAAAAGCATAAAATCTACTCTTGTAAATATAATTTAATATAATTTATTACAATATATAATTCTATTTAATGTATGTAATTTTATTAGAATTGTTCAGTTTTTCTTGTTCAGTAGTTGCCATTTCTAATATAATTTATTTTCTATTTAATGTCGCTCTATAGAATGATAACAGATATGAAAATGTTTAATATGTGCAGCGTGTAAAAAAATTATTTTCTCTTTTAAAATATTTATTTTTTCTTCTGGCGTGATCTTTATATTTTTATTTGTAAAAAGCCTGAGAAGTTCTACGAGTTGTACACTGATACATATCAAGTTATCAAGCTAGCTGTTAGTTTCACCAATAGAACTGTTTACCTGAGTAATTTGCTGTCATACAATGCTTTCTTTGAAGATTCCGACACGGTCGAAACCAGGTTGCGACGTTTCCATTTGAGCAGTAGGCTCGCCTGACAAGTTTTCTAATTATTTTTTGTTCCTATTTTGATTGCTTCTTGATAAACTGAATGAGACAAACATGTGTAAAAATGAAATTTTTAAGATAGATTTCTTTTTTTTTAAATTGATTAAAAATTGTGAAGAGCAAATATATTAATTAAAATTTTGTAACAATATTTTGTATAAATTTTAATTAATAATGAAATTAATTTTAAAAATGTGAAAATAATTTTTCTTAAATATAAATAATATGATTAATTTTTCAAGTTTATAATATTAAGTTTACTATTTTAGCAAAATGCGAGATCGCTGCAGTTATACAAATTGCTAAGTATTTCGAGAATGACGAGGGGTGCATGAGCGCTCAACAGAAACGAAGAGTGATATCACGGCGCCCAATTAACATCTCGATTTAATAAAGCCCTCAAGCTTGCCGTATGTTACCATTTCCCGCACAAAGTGTCTGCCGACAAGAGAGAAAGGGAGAACTCGCTCGCCCTCTCTGTGCCTCTCAAGGGGTGCCTGCTCTCATAGTCGAGGAGGCCAACGCTCTTCAGTAAGTAACACTGTAACGTTTCCGGATGAATGAATAATAATTCCGGAACTTCTCATGACAAGCCACTCCGACGGCAACGACTATAACAATAATGGCAACAGAATTGTGGCATTGTAATGTCGCAAGGCTAGCCCGGTGTTGAGGAATTTCTCTAGTTAAAACAAAAGCTGCATATAACATACACATAAATATATAAATGTATCACATGAAGCGTCAATAATAAGCGTTTTTGTTTATAGTAAGATCACATCTCGATCTAATGTTTACATTTTTATTATTAAACTTTAAATTTTTATTAATTAAATTTAAATTTTCTCGAAATTATCTCGATTTTCTCGATATAAATTCTTCATTTTTAAAAATCAGAGAGCTAATTTCAAAATTGAAAAAATCCAAATTAGAATATGCA